TTTCCAGTAGCAACGTATGGAAGTGAGAGCTGGACCACAAAGAAGGCTGATTGATGCTTTTGAATTGTGGTGCTGGAGGAGACTCTTGAGAGTCCCCTGGACTGCAAAGAGAACAAACCTATCCATTTTGAAGGAAATCAACCCTGAGTGTTCACTGGAAGGACAGATCCTGAAGCTAAGGCTTCAATACTTCGGTCATCTCATGAGAAGAGAAGACCCCCTGGAAAAGACTCTGATGTTGGGAAAGGGTGAAGGCAAGAGGAGAAGGGACGACAAAGGACGAGATGATTGAACAGTGCCATCAAAGCTACCAACATGACTTTGACCAAACTCCGGAAGGCAGTGGAAGACAAGAGGGCCTGGCGTGCTCTGGTCCATGGGGTCACGAAGTGTCGGACATGATCTGACTAAACAACAACAACAACAACAACAACAACGATGATGCTTTCAAGGAGAATATAAATCAATATATGCTGGCATCATAATTTGTTCTTGTGTTTAGTCATGGAGAGTTCTTACTAAATACGATCCACCTGGAGCAGGAATTGACAAGCCACTCCAGTATCTTTGCCAAGAAAACCGTATGAACAGAAACAAAAGGCTAAAAGATATGATGCTGGAAGATGAGCCCCTCAGGTTGGAAGGCTTCCAACGTGCTACTGAGGAAGAGTGGAGGACAAGGACAAGTAGCTCCCGAGCTAAAGAGGTGGATGGGCATAAGAATTAGTGCCAGACAAAAGGTTCAAGGAGTACAAGGGACTCTGGTCTGAAATATGTTTAATAATAGCAATAGTTTTTAAAGGAGATACCATAAACTGACAAGTGTACAGAATGATCCAATGGAATTTTAGCATTCATTGGTGAAGGTGCATAGAGAAAGGCCAAAGTTCCTGTCTCAATCTCTCTCCCCTGGATTCTTGCACTTCCTTTCAACATTCCACAGCAGAAGCAGAAATAAGCTATGCCATGGTGAATGTTTAGATTACACAGTGAGTGTTGAATTTGGAGAGGGGCTTCAAGTCCATATTGGCACAAAATACCAAAAATTACTAATTTTACCAAAGCACTAGTTGGAAGTAGATACAAACAAACTGTTGTTGAGCTTCGTATTTTCAGAGCCACTGTACTAATTTTATTGATAATGCATCGTATGATATAGATTTTATTGATCTTATGATGGGAAAACAATATCAAAGGATGGTATAGACATTTTATTTCAAATTAAACATCCTTTTCTAAGTGAACTGAAGGCAATAGTATGGAGACAACAATTGTGGATATGTACCTTGAAACGGAATCCTGTTGGACTGATGAAGCCACAAATATGTTTTCCTCCATTTATTTCCAGGTTCCCCTGGCAATGTTTTCTAAATTCTTTTTAATACACTGACTGTGCCCTCTTCTCACTAAATTCTAAGCTACAATGACTTTTTAACAGATTATTACATGAGGAATATATCTGTCTATCTCTACAGAACAATTACCTTCACATTAGACTAAACTGTGACCATGTGAAGTGGCCTTCCACAATCAGGCACTTTTCAGATGTTTGGATCTCAACTCTTAGAATGTCTCATTATTCACCATATTAGTTGCAGGTCATGGTAGGTCAAGTCAAAAACATCTAGAGGGCATTAGGTTGGGTGTTTGATGTAAAGGATACATACACTGAGGAAAGAAGTACATTCAGCAACGTTGTAAAAGCTGATAGAAGTAACTGGTTAAATCTTTCAAGAGTAGGGGTGTGATTTTAAAGAACAGGGAAACTTTTTGGAAACATCCAGTTCTTTAAAAGTCTTGAGATGTGTAAAGCATTCACTAGTTGTTTTAAACAGAATAGTTAAGATCCCACTGTTTCTTCCCAGCTTACCTGATGAGCCTGGAGACAGGGCTGAGGGTCCAGGGGAAGGATTCATACTGCTTATAGGCTGAGGGGGTAGATGGCTGCCTGCGATATATCTACTTAGTAAATTATCTAAGTTACTTGAACCCGCATCTTCCAGCTGAAATAAAGGAGAACAGCCACATGGTGATTCTGCCAAATCTCAGCATGCTAGAAATGACAGCATGAGAATCATTGGTATTTTCACTAAGGATATTTTAAAACTATCATTAAGTAATATACTATGGGGAACAGACAGATAAATCTTTCGTTACCCCATATACAGTGGTGCCTCGCTTTACGATTGCCCCGCATTACGACAAAACTGCATTAAGATGATCTTTTTGCGATCGCAAAACGATGGTATGAATGTTTTTATTTCGCTTTGCGATGATCGGTTCCCTGCTTCAGGAACCGATTCTTCGCAAAACGATGATTTTCCTCCAGCTGATTGGCGGTTTCAAAATGGCCACCGGGTAAATAAAATGGCTCCCCACTGTGTTGTTGGACAGATTCCTCCCAAGACAGCCACCGAAAATGGCCGAGCTATGGAGGATCTTCACTGGATGGTGATTTTACAGCCCACTGGAATGCATTGAAGGGGTTTCAATGCGTTTCAATTGGCTTTTTATTTTTGCATTACGACGTTTTTGTTCTACAGCGATTTGGCTGGAACAAATTAACATCGTAATGCGAGGCACCACTGTATCTATTTGATACTAAGGGATGCTAGAGAATAGCATGTCCACAAAATGAACAGTAGCCTTCAAAAAAGGATATTGCAACTCTTGCAGAAAAACAAAGATTTAGTGAGTTTTAGGAAACAAGCTTTAAGCTTTCTCTCAGTCATAAATACAGAAGTGAACATACAGTACATACTGAACAAATTTTCCCTTTCCAGTTTACAGTTCTCATCCTAGTCTTTACCAACTTAAATTCCCCGACCCACATTCCATGAGTTTTAACTACATTTATCAAGTGTAGGAATATAGAAAGAGAGTTTAACGTCGTAATGCGAGGCACCACTTTATCTATTTGATACTAACGGATGCTAGAGAATAGCATGTCCACAAAATGAACAGTAGCCTTCAAAAAAGGATATTGCAACTCTTGCAGAAAAACAAAGATTTAGTGAGTTTTAGGAAACAAGCTTTAAGCTTTCTCTCAGTCATAAATACAGAAGTGAACATACAGTACATACTGAACAAATTTTCCCTTTCCAGTTTACAGTTCTCATCCTAGTCTTTACCCACTTAAATTCCCCGACCCACATTCCATGAGTTTTAACTACATTTATCAAGTGTAGGAATATAGAAAGAGAGTTATGCATTCCCTACTACATCTAAAAGGGCCCAAAGGTTGCCAACTTAATGTCTTTAATACCTGACTAGATAGGTATACAGAAATGGGCTAACTAATCTGACTTGGGGACAGAAAAACAAAGATTTAGTGAGTTTTAGGAAACAAGCTTTAAGCTTTCTCTCAGTCATAAATACAGAAGTGAACATACAGTACATACTGAACAAATTTTCCCTTTCCAGTTTACAGTTCTCATCCTAGTCTTTACCCACTTAAATTCCCCGACCCATATTCCATGAGTTTTAAATACATTTATCAAGTGCAGGAATATAGAAAGAGAGCTATGCATTCCCTACTACATCTAAAAGGGCCCAAAGGTTTATTGCCAGATGAAAAACATGCCAACTTAATGTCTTTAATACCTGACTAGATAGGTATACAGAAATGGGCTAACTAATCTGACTTTAATTAAGAATTACATTCTGTGAACATGTAATCTTAGATAAAGATACCCAATTGAACTGAAACATTTTCTCAGATTTATGTATCAATACAGCGTAAATTCATGTCACCAACCTAGCGGTTCGAAAGCATGCAAATGCGAGTAGATAAATAGGTACCATCTCGGTGGGAAGGTAAACAGCGTTCCATGTCTAAATCACACTGGCCATGTGACCACGGAAAGATTGTCTTCGGACAAATGCTGGCTCTATAGCTTGAAGAGCGGGATGAGCGCCACCCCCTAGAGTCGGACACGACTGGACAAAAATTGTCAAGGGGAACCTTTACCTTTAATCTGACTTTAATTAAGGATTACATTCTGTGAACATGTAATCTTAGATAAAGATACCCAATTGAACTGAAACATTTTCTCAGATTTATGTATCAATACAGCGTAAATTCATGTGTAGGACTTTTGCTGGCAGTTTCAGGGTGCACATGGCTTTGCTGCATTGTGAACAAATCACATGCATCCTGAAATTGCATGTAAGCAGTGGTGATATGCCTTTAATGAGTGTCAAAATGATCTGACATTGCTGATGACATCATCACTTGATATGCCTTTAATGAGTGTCAAAATGATTTGACACTGCTGATGACATCATCGTTTCACATCTGGAGCTGTACAACAGGTTTTCAAGTCAGAGTTTATATCTGTTCTCAGAATATGTTTATTCACCTTCTATTTAAATGGGTCTCATGAAGTGGGTTGCATTCCCCAAAGCTTATGCCAAACAGCATTTATTAGTCTTTAAGGTGCCATAAGATTCTCTTTTTCCCCTGTAACACACTATTCTGCTCCTTTCTTCTCAGAGTTAAGCAGGCAAGATCTATCTTCTTGATATAGTTTTGAATGTGCTATTGGCATCAAGAACACAACTAAAACAATGATGCCAATTCTGATTGATTAACAGAATTAACTTTTACATCATTTGTTCTACTTCACTAACCTGTATGGGAGGAATATCTGGCAATGAAGGTAGATTCTCTGGGTTGGTTACTGAAGGAATAAGCTCTATTGCTGCTACAGATGGGCTTGTTGGACCACGGTTAGCATTGGCCATGGTAGCTGTTGTTGGGCTTGTTGGATTGATAGTATTATTATGTACTGAAACAACCGGGAAAGGACCCGCATGTCCTGGGTTTGAATGCTGATAAGGGGAGAAAAAGAAAGACAGAAATTATCATTATGGTAGTGGAAAAAAGAAGAAAACTATCTCTTTTACATGCAAAATTAAACTTTATAATACTGTTCCTTTTGTGAAGTACTCTCTTTAGAAAGTTTTCCAATGCCTCAGTAATTTTTAGCATTCTACTGCATTTTGCATTTTACTATTTTCTTTTTTAAAAAGTCAGAAGATCCATAGTAATTTCAATATCCATTTTTCTTGTTCATAAATATGTTATGATTTTTTTCAAAATGCAAACCTCCTACTTTTCCTTATTCCAAACATAAAAATTGTCACAATAATATGTCTGTTGGACAGCAGACAGGCAACAGTTATTACTTTACATGCAAATATATTTTACTGGAAGCTGCATGAATCTGAAAAATTTGCATAGGAAGATTCATAAAATATTTTTCTTTCTCCAGCAACACAGAAATAAACAGCAAGTTGTCCATTTTAATTCTTGTTTTCACACTTTTTTGAACTTAACATTTATATTTTACAAGCTAAAATAAAAGGTGGGAAACAAAATGTGCACACAGCATATACTTGTCTTTGTAAGTGTGGCTGCATCATGGAGTACTGAGGCCCGTTGTGGCGAGGTATCCCTGGGAGACGAGCAGCATTCTGAGCCATTCTCATCTGTTGGGCTTGGAAAGCACCGCAATTCATACCTCTCTGCATAGTCTGCATGCTTATCAACCTTGGAGGCTACAAAACATTATGTATTTTAAAACTCTCATTGCTAAGATGATAAAAAATAGTCCCCTTTTCCCCAAAACAATTCATTTTTGTGCTTTACAAAATAACTAGACAAGCTAACTTGAATTCCATAAAATAAGACAGATTTTTTACAAATATATTCCATTTCAGTGTCAAGAGATCTATCTTAAGGAGTGTCTAAATTTATACAGACTGATAACTTGCCTGCTGCTGCAGCATCTGTGGGCCTGCCTGGCGAGCAATCTGCCCTGCAGGCTGCCCCATCCTCATCTGTTGTAACTGCTGGTGTTTTTGTTGTTGTGCGAACACCTGCTGTTGCATATGCTGGAGACGGAGCTGTGCAAGATTAATTTGCCCTGGAGGTTTGCTGATGTGGTTTGTTCCTGGAGGAACTTGTCCCACTACTACATTAGGTGTATAACCTTGAGTTGGCTTATTTTCAATAACAAGACTACCTAAACAACAGGAGAGAGAGTTGGTTAACTGCAAAGTCTACTAAATTTTAACAATCTAAAATATACATGCTTTGTATTCTCTGTATTCACAGAAATCTGGCAAATTTCTCATTGGCTTTACATAAAATATTCTATTTAATATACATCCTTCTTTGCTTCTGATTTTTATGACTCTAAATTAAGGTCACTTTACATTTTTTCTACAAAAAAGTATGTAGCAGCTATCAATACATATACGATATTTTTATAATTTTAATTTCCAAATTAATCTCATATTATCGCTTTTATCCTTCAGCAAGGAAATCCATCATGATGAATTTGATTTTATTCTTTCTTATTACTTAAATCACTACTCAGAAAGACTTGATTTGATCATGATTCCCCTTCCCCATAATGCACTCTTGTTTGCTATAACTTAATATGTATTTTTCACAATCTTCTTGCTCGCAGTGACTAGTTCCAATAACACTCTATGCACTACTGCTTCCAATCTCTGAAAGTGTGCATTTTTAAAGAGATAAGGCTCTGACTTTGTCTACACAAAGTTGTAGAGCTACCACTCTAAAGGAAAAAGCATCACTCAAAAAAACTACAGAAAGCAATCATGGAGATTTTGATAGTTTTCAATAATGTTGAACATTTCATCATGACAGAATTTTTAAAAATTTGTCCATAGTTATGTCAGTCACCATAGGAAAATAGGGCTACATAGATTTCATCTCTCTAACACTGTTGTTGCCTAGTACATATATCTGAAGACATAACCTCATTTTGAGTACTATCCCCAATCCTATTAATTGTGGTTGCTGACATAATACCAATGACATAACTCTCAGCAGTGAACAGCTACAGTGGTTTAATGTATGACAGGAAATACCAACTCTGACTTCTTAACTGTGGCAGTTTGCCATTGAAAGTTACACTGCGAGTTACAAATGCAACAGGATTATAGCTATTTTTCCGATGGTATCTATTAAACTGAGTACTAGGGAAACAAAAAGATAAAACTAATTTCTATCAGGCAGCCCATTAAATGGGACAAGATCCCATATGATAATCTTTCAGCTATCTAGATGGTACCCAACTTAGCACTAAAGATGGGTTCATCAGTACCGTTCAAGGTACTGATGGGGCATGGCAAGTCAAAACATTGTTTGGAATAAATTCAAAGAGTTGGAGTTGTGGGAGGTAGATGAAGATTCCTTGGTTGAAGAAGGCTGAATGTGGATCTATCTGATTCTGATAGCTGATATTGACAATAGTTATAGATCACTGCCACTTAGGTTGAAGACACTGGGAGCAGGAGGATTATACTTTGATGTGATGAGCCACATTTGATAACCTATGATCTGCATCTAATTTTTCTGTCTAAATTTTCATCTGTCTTTCCAGGTAAAGGTAAAAGTTCCCCTTGACAAATTGTCCAGTTGTGTCTGACTCTAGGGGGCGGTGCTCATCCCCGTTTCTAAACCATAGAGTCAGCATTTTGTCCATAGACAGTTTCCGTAGTCACGCAGACAACGCAACTAGACATGGAGCACGGTTACCTTCCCACCGTGGTAGTACCTATTTATCTACTTGCAATTTTTACCAAAACCATCAAAGATATCTCCTCACTCTTCATGAGATTATCCTGCCACAGTACCATGGAACAAAACCAAGACTGTTGCTTCAAGGTAATTGCACCCATTAATGCCTTAAACAAGTATTTATCAGCATATCATGGGGAGCTGATCTGTTGATGGATGACATTCCCAAGCTTCTTTGGAAAAGAACCCTATTATCACCCTTTCCTTGTCAGCTAGGTAATCCATTGTGCTGGCTATCCTGCAGAAAGAGCTAAGAGAAGCTGAGGCAGATCCATTCATTTGCAATTTTAAATCCCAATGCATCTTCTGAGTTGGCTTTGTAGGCTAGTGATCCCAATATATTGGCAGGCAGAGTGAAGAGGAAACAATGATAATGGAGTTAAGTGTGGAATGTGTTGATAGTCACAAGCCTCCACCATGTAAAATGTTTTTTGGTGATAGGTGGTGACAGAAGTTGGGAAGAAATTGTACTTTGTTGTTTTTCATAAGTAAAGGAGCACTGGGAGAGCTACCAAGGTGTTGCCTTGAATATGAAGCACCAAGAAGATGGAGTCCTTGTCAGCATATCAATATGGTATTTGAAGGCACTTTGCCATTACCAACCAGGAGGTAAGAATGGTAGGTGTAATCTTCTGATGATTTTAAGATACCAATGAACTGGTTTAGGGAGGAAGACCTGATGTGCCTGACAAATCAGCAGATCTAACCAAGTCTTCATCAGGCTCACAAAATTGAAAGACAGAACATGGCCGGTTCATTATGGTTTTCTTTTGTGTGGTGTGAGGCATTCTATGAGAAGATGGAAGAAGTATAATTGCAACCAGAGCAGACAGTGCTACTGACATGATGAAGGATTGCACTGATGGTTGAAGGATAAAGCAAACCAAAATATATGTTAGTACTGTGGTCAATACTGCAGCAATTGTAAGAGCTGGTGCTCGGGAGGCAGGAGTAATAGATGGTACTGTACTTGACAGTTTCATACCAATGTTGACTTCGTGGTAGTGACTGAGGTTCAGAGTAGCAGCAGTGGGTGGAGTATAAACAGCAGATGTGGTATGCAGTGGGCTGATGTGCCAGGTAGAACAAAGATGAACAGGAGGCATAGAGTATACAGATAAATACTGACACCAGTACCATGGAAAACATTGCATTGATCACACTATGGAGATGGAGGGTAATATCAGTGAGATGATAATGAATATTTTCAATGGTGATGATATGGATAACCACTGTACTGAAGCATATTATAATAATCAGGCTCTTAAGAGATTCTAATGATATTAAGGACCATTGTGTTTATATTTGGAGTAGGCTTTGTAACCAGTGTGCCTGACATAGACAGTCCTAACTGAGCTCACGCTAGACTTGCTGAGTCAGTTCAACTGAGGTGGCCTCTCTACAAATTACACCCTCTGATACAGACCTGAGTAGCTGACTACTATCATGAGAAGGGAGCAGTGCAGCTGGCAGAAGCAGAAAAGGCTTAGCTTGCAAGACATTTGATGGTCAGACAATATTTGTACCTCTTGGATGTCAGCAGCAATTTGTATGGCACATTTCACCTTCTTTTTATTTAGGTGTACTTGAGGAATGCAACCTCCTTTCATATTTTCTGAGTTGATACTAATCACACAGGCAACAATGAATCAGTTGCATGCAGGTGTTCATGATCAACAGTGGTGAAGAACATACTGGTTGCTGAGTCAATACTGAGGCTGTTGGCATTGATAATGATGCTGAAAGCATGCTGATGCTGTGACAGTCAGTTGGGTGTTTGGTATCATGAGCATTCTGAGGACTCCTGGCAATTTACAGATGGAGGGTAGTTTAGTGGGGGTGGGTGGGTCTTGAACACACAGCTTTCTCCAGAAGAAAGGATGAAAGCCAAATTCTATATCTGCAGTGAATTTGACTTGAGAAGGACTGACAGATTGTATACGTTAAGCTGTCATGCCTTCTCTGCTAAACAAAAAAGAGACTTGTTTCACCCACTGAAGAAGGAAATTTTTCCCTTATAGATGCAGCAAATCTTGCAAAAAAAAAAATACACACACACAACAACCCTAGAACCACAGGGAAAGCAATTACAAGTACATGGAAAAAGAAATTAAAGTTGTGACTACAAAAGGGTAAATCAATGTAAATACAAAAAATAAATAATTTAAAAGGGTGGGGGGAGGTACCTCCAAACATGAACATTTGGACCTCTCTCTCTGGTGTGCTCTCCGCTGTGGCCACTATGGTAGATGAAGCAGAACTGAGGAGCAACACACCAGTGCAGATTCTATAGACAGAAGGGAAGGGATCACTGACAACACTATATCTAGGAGTGGCTCTGCATTCAAAAAACCTTTCAGATATTGTTTTGGCACTGAAGCCATATATGTGAAGGCAAAGAGACTACAATGAATCACCACATTTTTCTAGCGTCCTAAAATTCCTAATTGGATAACACCGGGCTCTTTCATTTTTTTTATCCAAATAATTAAAAAGTAAGGATAAGTGATCTTGCAAGCTGTTTGTAAATAAAGCCCTTCTATACACTATATATAACCTTTCTGTTTCTAGAACTACAATTTGTGTTGACAAGAAATATGTACAATAAATATTTAATAGTGTTTTCAAATTGCTATAAAGTTTCTGAAGAAAAAGACAGTATCATCATGATCTAGACTCCTTCACTTTAGGACAAGTGTAAAGTGACCTCTGACACTGTTCAAGCAGCTGAAGTTAGAGGGGACGCCTCATGTGCATATGAAGTACTCAGACATAACTAACAGGGAATCCCTACATCATTTCAAAGCTTGTTCTGCAAAAATTCATGTGATATATATTATTAACATACTTCTAAGGCAGCTTTCCCTAACCTTCCCAACTGCAGGGTATTTGCTTATTTGCTTTGAATCACTATTTGCACCAGAACACTGTAAAACTGTAACTTTTCAGTAGAAAACTTATTTCCAAAAGCCTACCTTTGTAAAATGCAATGTGCTTAAAGTTTATTATAACTTTGAATTCCCCCTCCCAATTTCATTGGAACCATGTAAATATCTGCACTGTAGTTCAAAATACTCCTGGCATTGATTCTAGCAATGTGCAAATGTGCACTAGTTGTCTGCAGTTTCAAGGTTCAAAAATCAATGTTCAGTTAACTACAGTATCAGATTTTCATTTTCTGCTCCTTGTAATTTTCCTCTGAAAGCCTTTTTTCCCCTTCTGGAGTTTTCTAATCCTTCATATCTAGTGATTTTTTTCAGCTCCCAATATATAGCCCAGTCCAAAGGCAGCATGTAAACTCTGAACACACGTGGGAGGAGTTTGGATACCTCCTTTGTTCTTTCAGACTGCCCAACAAGCTGCCCCTGCATTTAAGGAATCTCAGAAATATCCATTCACAAAATAAGAGCTGTTGCTGAAGAAGACCATGAGGAAAACCTGGTAACACACATATAAGCCACTGTATGCAACAAAAAGTCAATGTAAGCTGCCTTGATAGGTGCCATTTACTTATTTTAATAGAGGAGTTTAATTTTTTTAAAATGAATAAGAAGCATAAGGATCAGCCTTTTATTTCCATGTGTTCAAAGAAAGTGGGGACCACGTGAGAAGACAATTTTTCAAACTTTCCTGCATTTTTCTGTCTCACGTGTGGTATAGAGCTTTCCCTGCTAATGAGTTTACACAGCTCGTTCAGGCATTATTTCACTGAAAGATTCTCTTGTTTGTCTGGCCAAAATCCTACCCAACACCTGTGGAATCAGACTACTCACTGGTTTAGCAACGTGGGATTGTTCACTGCACCAGTCACACAAACTGTGACTAATACCTCAAAAAAATAAAAAGTAAATTCTGCTTGCTCACAGATATCTCAATGTGCAAATACGAAGGTCAACCCCATTGTGCTACAGTCTGTTTCACAGATAGCTTTACATCATAGGATCCTGGTTTTTTTTTTGTTTGCAAATTCTAGTTTTTCTGTGGTAAGAAAGGACAACAAGTGTTTAGAAGGAGTTATGAAATTGAGTGCCATCTGCATTCTGATGGCACCCAGCTGTATATCTCCTTGTAATCTGAGTCAGGTACAGTAGTGCAGCTGCTAAGCCAGTGTCTAAACACTGTAATCACTGTATCTCTGGAGGCTCAAGTGGACTCAAGAGTTTCTTTGGCCAACTTTGGCTGGATAATCTGGCAACAGTGACTCATGGGCTGGCAACTTCCCATCTAAACTACTGCGATGCGCTTTATATGGAACTGCCTTTGAACATAACACAAAGGTTACACATAACACCAACGTTACATTACAGAAATCTGTCCAATCCCCTTTTAAAAGCATCTAGTCCAGATGCCATCACCACATCCTGTCACAAGGAGTTCCAGAGGTTAACAACATGCTGGGTAAAGAAATCTTTTTTTGTCTGTTCTCACTCTCCCAACACTCAATTTGAGTGGATGTCCCCTGGTTCTAGTATTGTGTGAGAGGGAAAAGAGTTTCCCTTTATCTACCTAGATGATTTCGAACTTAGATATCTGAGGGAATGCCTCTCACATTATACACCTAATAATTCAAGATCTGCAAGCAAGTCATCACTTTTATCCCATCACTGAAAGTGGTATAATGTGTGAAAATATGGAAAAGGGCTTTCTCAGGTGTAGCACCCAAACTACAGAATGTACTCCCCTTGGGAGCCCATTTGGCACCTTTATTTCAGCAGTGAGCTAAAACTGGGCTGTTTACCTGAGCACTTGGCAACCAGAGAGATTATTGGTTTTTTAGTCTGTTTTAAATCTTGCCTGTTTAAAAGTTTAAAACTGTTTAAAAGTGTTTTGATGTTTCACTGAAAGATCCCAAAAAACCCAGTGCAATTTTTTATTTTAAAAGAAATTCCAAAGTTTCAAGTTACACTGCCGGTGCTTGTGGCTGGAATGTGGCCAGGGCATGTCACAACAGTAGAGGGGGAAAGAGGGAAGGAAGGAAGGAGTGGGAGGGGCACAGGGCAGGACGGCTGCGTGACTGCATTGCGCCGGCCCCGTCAATAGGTGGACCCCCTCCCGGCCCCATAAGGCCACAGGAGTCGAAGCTGGCAGCCTCTGCTGTCTGAGATCGCAGCTGCCAGTAAGCGTGCTTGGAGTTGGGCTGCCGAGGATGGCTAGGGCTGCCCCCCCATGCGGCCCAAATCAAATGTATGTGCGGCCCAAACCAAATTTTCATCTTCTAATGTGGCCCAGGGAAGATGAAAGGTTGGACACCCCTGCATTAGATCCTGGCCATGAAAGCCTTCGCTAATACATTGTTTTAATGTTTACTGGTTCAACCATGCCTTGAGAACTGTTGATTCATGGCTTGTTAGAAAGAGTTAAATACTATAAACAAGCAAGCTAAATGTTCCTGCCCATACAAGCAGCAATACTTCAGAACAATTTTGAATCTGCTGTCCTGGTATTACTTAGAAGCCACAAACCTGCTTGTCCTCCATACATGCAAAAGTTAAACTGTGTAATGCATTATGGCAAATTGCCACTGACTGACAAGTTGAATTATGAGGCACTCACCCAACTGCGCAACAGCTGTGTCCCTAGTGATACAACTGGAGCTTTATTATTTGGCAGTAGTTTATGGCAGCAAGTTATGAATTTAACTCTCACACATAAATCAACAACAGGATTCTGGCTAGAATATCCAGCACTGAATTGCTAAAAGATTTGCAGGTTCACAAAACCTGAATATCATGCAGTATATATTAGAAATTCACAGAGTATGAATATTATGTTTATAAGCAAACATGGGGATTCTGAATTGTCAATTCAGTTTTCTGAATTGTCAATTCACGTTTTCTATTTACTCCCTATGTTTTAAACATTTTCAAATATATAATGGATTTTAAATTATTGTTTGTAATTTAATTGTTTTTAATTGGTAATGTATTGTGTTTTTAGTACACTAGAACCCTTGCATCCACAGGAGATTGGCTCCATGTTCCCATGGATGGGGAAAACCCATGGATAATAGTGAACTCTCTACACAGCATGGTCTCTGGCTCCCTCCAGTGGCCAGTTCTAGTAACTATATTGTGGAAATATAGTATTTCTGGGTTTTTTCTTTTTAATATTTTAAATATTTTTCAGACAAGATGGTCAAGGGAGTGGCCACAGATATCAATCTCGTGGATAAGGGGATCCTACTGTATTATGTGTTTTAACACTGTGAGATGCCTTGGGTCAACTCACTAGGAGAAAGACAGCCTACAAATGATAAAAAAATGAAACATAAATAAACAAAATGTCACATTCGGTACACCTGACAATGAACCCAAGCTTCTCTGGATACCTGAACATACAGTTAATGAGCTGACTCCAGATTTGTTCCCTATCCAAATATACATTGTGATGAGTACTATCTTTTTCTGATTTTCATACTATCAAAGATACAAGTCAAGGCAGTAACCACTAGAACACATTGATACAGCACAGATATATGAAGTAACCTTGCAAATAATTTACTATGTAGTCTTCTGTTCTTCTGCACAACTGACATGACCCATCTCTCTTTCACACTGCAAGCCATTCCATTGTACTTGCCATTATTACAAAGAACTCTATTTCAGAAATTTAAAGCCAGGAAAAGCAGCCCAAGCCTTAGCACTTTTTTGTTCAGTCGGGAAACACCAGCACTTCACCATATATTACGGAGGATCAATTCTCATATGAATTGGATTATCTGGATGACGTTTCATGTACAGTACATGAGGATTGCCAGTGCTACACCTCTCTGAAAAACTATTTTGGTGGTTATCTAGTCTTCTAGTAGGCCTTTCTGGAGAGTGGGGAAAGCTGCTACTCAAAGTGGGGTAGAAAAGCCCTCATTGTGTATGATTCCAAACCACTGCCATCCATTTTAATCACACCCTACAGAAAATATTTTATTCTACATGTCATAATAAGAACTGTTGCACAGTGAATTCACCTTTCAGAGAAACAGAATACCCTCTCACCTAAGGTGGCTACATTCTTTGCCCAGAATGTGGGATCACAATGGAAGCGTATTGCTCCATTAGCAGCTGGGACGGGATCACATCGGGCTTTTAATATATGTCGCAGCTGGAATGTGATCTGTGAGAAGACAAACACTCTTCAGTTAGGGATGACGTTGTGTGGAAAAAAAGTCAACAAGAAGCCAATATAATAAAGTGGAAAATATCAGTTATTAAATGACTTTGGGCATGTCATTCTGTCAATTATTGTAATCTACCTCAAAATATTGTTATAAATCTAAATGTGTACTGAATTATTTGGAAAATTTGTACAACCTATGACAAAAGTCATTATGAATATTAATGAACAAACTGCAAGGAATTCAAATAAAAGATGGCAATTCTGAGCCACAACTAGCACTGACCAGCTTATTTCTGTGGTCTCTTAACAATTTATTTATTTATTTATTTATTTATTTTATATCGCTAGTCAATTAAGACCACTCTAGGCGGCTAATGAACTTGAAATCTTATATAGTCATATATAAGCTCATCCACATTCAAATATTTATACACCGGACATACAGATATATATTCTTCATCCACAGAAATCAAAATAAACAATCTGAGTAAAGGTTTATCGTAAAATTAATCCCAGAATCATTCTGCACTTTAAATCTGCTTAAATGATTGAGGAATTATCCAAGATTAAAATTAGAAAGAGGCATTCTGAATAAGGTGCTATATTTTCCCCTTACTTTGAATTACTGTACTGCTTATGAGAACCATATCAATGTTCAAAGTTGCAAGCAAGGGAACATTTTCAAGGTTGTCTTTTCATGCATAAAAAAATAAGTATTTCTCTTGCTTAACGAACAGACATTTCATACGAAATCCTTCAATCAGTACTTAGTCTGAAAATATCTAAGCAAAATCTCTATAAAGCTAATAAAAATGTAGTGCTTTCCTGTTTTATCAGTTCCCTTTATCTTTCATAGAACTGCTGCCGGAACGTAAATTCCAAACTCTCATAGCAACAGTTTCAGAAAACAATGTTCTCCCTGCTATGTATGGAAATCAAGGCACAAGATCTTTTGAGAGTTAAGCAGAAGCGGTTCACTACTGATAGTGACACAAGATTAACAAGCAGTGAAGCAGGTAAAATTCTGACACTTTCCCATCAACAATTTTTTTTATTTCGCATGATTATTCAACTTCAATCTTCTAAAAGTATATTACACAATTTTACATGCTGCATAAATCTTAAATAAGCACAGTTATTTGAACAGAAATATTGGAACTCTTTTTCCTAATCCTGTAAAGTAGTTATAGTTTCTTGCAATCATACATTTAATTATGTTTTTTCCTACAATGTATCAGTTGGTATGATAATTTTTGTTCTGATGTATAGATGTGACAACCTCACAATTTTGAGTTGGATTTTGTGTACTTTTTAATTTATTAATTTATTTATTTACTGTATTTATACCCCGCCTATCTAGTCATTTCGACCACTCTAGGCGGCTTACAACATAAAGCATAACAAGTTCAAGAAAAATTTATAACAATTAATTAAATGATTCTGCATCCTCACCCACTCCCTTGTGATCAAAAATTATATCAAGCAAAATACAAATGCAAAATACATCTATGCTTTGTAGACAGAGTACCCTGAAAAACCTATTTCCAACTCAGAAACTGTCCTGTTTAACTTACATTGGATCCATTCATAGCTCAACAATTTTACAAAATGTATTGCATCTAATCCATTTATTCTGCAAATGACTAAATAACAGGATGCATAACCCACTGTGAAACTAGTTGCACGATCAAATGTACAATTGCTTGCATAGCCATATAATCCAGCACAATGCTGCTAACCGAGATTTTTCCCCCTATGCTGGCTTTAGGCCAATGGATTTTTAGACACAGAGCTGCTTCTATGGACAAAAAGAGGAGAAAATTATGTGGCTCATGTCACTATTAGCATAGAATTAATTATCTCAAATTATACAAAATATTCAAAAAATAAATCCTTTACAAATTTTGTAAAGTAGGCAACAACCAGTAACAGCTGCTCAGCATGAAAGCCCAGGCAGCCTGAAGTTGGCTGAAAACAGATTTAAAAAAGCAACCATGCAGCCACTGCTGAAAGGACCTATCTATACTTTAGTACAGTGGTGCCTCGCACAACGAGCGCCCCGTAGAGCGATCGCAGAGTGACGGCCCCAATGGACGAAAATCGCAGAGCGAAGGTCGGTAAGCGGTTCGCTTACCGACCTTCGCTTTGCGACCCGCCAATCAGCTGTTCCGCAGCTACAAAATGGCCGCCAGAAGCCCCAAAATGGCCGTGTGCAGCGTTTTCGCGCCCTCGTTAAGCGAGGGGAGGGCGCGAAAATGGCTGCCGGCCATAGGGAAGCATCGCTGAACAGTGAGTATTCGGCCCAATTGGAACGCATTAAACCATGTTTAATGCGTTCCAATGGCTTTTCCTGCCCCGTTCAACGATGCTTTCACACAACGAGGGTTAATCCGGAACGGATTAACCTCGCTGTGCGAGGCACCACTGTACTGGGTATTCAAAAAATACAAACACCACTCTTTGTGATGTTACACCCTATTTTGGGGGAAGCAAATGCATCAAGGCTAGTAAAAGCAACATCTGAATGTGTATAGTAACTCTAACATAACATATAAAACATATGAAGTTGAATTAGCTGTCCTCTGCAAAATTAGAAAAGAGAAAGAAAAAATGTGGAAACATGATGCAGTTTCCTTTACTTCAATACAAAAGAAGCTCTAAAGCAGAACTGCAACTAATGAGATCTATGCATTAGAATTAAATCTTCTTACCAGTCGTTTGCTATAGAGCAACGCAGTGCTGCTGCCACTTGCAATGGCCCAATTAGTAAAGTTCATCACATGTTTCACCTGCCTTGACAGACCACTGATATCATTCTGCTGTTGTATTAGTTTCATCTGTCTTTCCTTCGTCACTGTCTGTACAGAAAAGGTGTACGTGTAACAAACAGGTTTTTTTGATAAAGTATTAAAACATCTAGTTGCATAGTGCTTTATATTCAGTAGAGATAGAAAAAATATTCTCATAATAATACACAGCAATTTTGCAAAGTCAAAAGATATTTTGCAGCACTGTATATGAAAGGCATCTTAAGAAGCTGCATGCAGATTAACACTAATGATTCCAGTGACAGTAGCAATTTCTAAATCATACTCAACCATAACTGAATGAAAAGTGATAGCATTTGTCAACAACTAAAGCATTACTTCTTAAGATACATATCCATTTTAATGGTAAAAATAAAGTTCAATAACAGACTCCAACTGAGGCACTGATCAGCTCTAGATCTGATCAAACTTCAGTAAAGATGCTGCACCACATGCTCTTCTGTATGTTCTATTCAAATGTTCTGTTTCAAAAAGATTTTTTTAAAATCAGTAATACAAAAGGAAGCTGCTGCAATACTTTCAGGGAGTTGCAGTTCTTTGGGAAATGTTTTTCCCCAAAGAATTACTACTCTCAGAAAGCACTGCAGCAGCTTCCTGTTTTCATACATTAATAGGAAGTACAGGTGCAAGAGAGCCAGGCAGCCTCAGAGGCAGACTCTGGTCCAAATGAGCAAAATGTAGGTTCAGACGTGGGCCTGTGGACTGGAGCTCCCAAAATCCTGCCTGGGCAATTCTTGAAGAATTCTTGGAGTTGAAGCAAAAATAAAATAAAATAAAATAAATCAAATGGCACATTCCTAGTAACTTCTCCAAGCTCTTCTTTACCAACCTAAAATATATTCAAACCAGTTCAAGCCAAAATCAAAATAAAATACATTACAACATAGTAAATGTTCAGTAAAATTTCAGAGCTGCTTAGCTGAGGCTATTTATTCATTTATTTCTTACTCTGAAATGCTTATAACACTTTTAAAACAAATCCCCCCAAGACACCTTCCAAAGCAGAATTTATTAACAACTCAAACTCAATAAATACTAATAATAAAAACAAAAGTGGTAGCAGTTTGCTTCCATGTTACAGAGTCTAGAACAAATGTAAGTGCTCATTATGTGGCAAACCTTAACCATTTATTATATATTTAACCTATCAAAATAATTGGGGAAAACCTACCCCATTTCACCAGGTACTTCTTAACACAGAGCAAAGGGATTTAACAGACTCAGTTGCAACTATTTCAGTAACCTATATCTAAATTAAAGGCAGGAGTGGGGCAACCCACCACTCTGGAAAGTCAGAGGGCGACAGTATGGAATAAAGTGGGGTCTTGACTTAAGAACGGCTCGAGTTAAGAACATTTTGACTTAAGAACCACGCTCATAAGAAAATATTGACTTGACTTACATACTTAGATTTGAGTTACAAACTGAAAAAAAACCATGTGGGAGGCAGGGAAAGTGCAAAATGGCTATTTATTCATTTATTTCTTACTCTGAAATGCTTGTAACACTTTTAAAACAAATCCCCCCAAGACACCTTCCAAAGCAGAATTTATTAACAACTCAAACTCAATAAATACTAATAATAAAAACAAAAGTGGTAGCAGTTTGCTTCCATGTTACAGAGTCTAGAACAAATGTAAGTGCTCATTATGTGGCAAACCTTAACCATTTATTATATATTTAACCTATCAAAATAAATGGGAAAAACCTACCCCATTTCACTAGGTACTTCTTAACACAGAGCATGCAACTATTTCAGTAACCTATATCTAAATTAAAGGCAGGAGTGGGACAACCCACCACTCTGGAAAGTCAGAGGACGACAGTATGGAATATAAACATAATTTCCCAATGACTCTTAGAATAATTTTGCATTGTAAAGATACTTTACAATGCTTCCACTCATTTTGCAGAGGGAAAACCATTCTTATATAGGGCGTTTTTAAAAAAACCTTTATAACTATTTTTAAAGTATGTAAACACACACTATTTCACAAAAAATAATAATCCTAGTTGTAGAAGGGGTAGCCAGGTTAGTCTGTGCAAGCATTATAGATGAAAACAAAATAAAAATAAAGAGTAAAAAAAAGATAAAAATGTGGTGGCACTTTAAAGACTAACTTTTACATTTTTTATTGTGAGCTTCATGGACAAGTCCATTATGTCTGCTGAAGTGGAAGTGGACTTGTCAATGAAAGCTTACATTAAAAAAGTATAAGTTAGTCTTTAAAGTGCCATCATGTTTTTGTCTTTTTTTTGGACTTCATTAATAACCCTAGTAGCCAAAATCCTGTTGCACCATTATGCAAAAGGTGAAGCTTTCAGTGGCAAACTCACATAAATTAAGAAGTCCCCATAACTTTATCTGTTGCAAGCCGAGTCTCACAACTCACTATAAAGCAGATAATGGAGATTTCCTAACTTACAGCTATTCACTGCTAACGGTTACTTCTTTTGCATAAGGGCACACCAGGATTTTGGCCAATTAATGGATAAGTAACCAAATCAGATAGTTTCAAAACGTATTACTGTATTAACTTTTTCCACAGAAGTTTTTCTATACCTAGACCAATGACTCAATTTTTAATCAACAAGAAGAAAGATATTTTATAAAGGTATTATCCTTTACAATCTTTCAAAATACAGTGGTGCCTCGCAAGACGAATGTAATTTGTTCCACGAGTAGCGCTGTCTTGCGAAAAATTCGTCTTGCGAAAAGCAGTTTCCCATAGGAATGCATTGCAATGTATTCCTATGGGAACCTTGCAAGACGAATGAATTATTTTCGTCTTGTGAGGCATTGGTCTTGAAAAAAATATCTTGCGAAGCAGAGCCATAGAAGAAGCCGTCTTGCGAAGCACCATAGCGATTGCAAAAACCATTTGTCTTGCGGGTTTTTTGTCCTGCAAGGCATTCATCTTGCGAGGCACCAACTTCCTAATCAGGTGGGTCAAGTGAACTTCTTTGGGCTACTGGAAATACTTCCGAGAAGTTTATAGCATGTATAAACCTATAAGTTAAATGTGCTAAACATAAAGGAGAAGGGGGATATTTAAAACATGCAAAAGATACTACTCACTTGATAGAGGGCTCAGCAATGAATACCACATACTGTTATGAGATAACTGAAAGATGCAGTATATACTAATTTTAAAACTGCATTATTTAAAACTGCAAAAATGAATGCTCAGTGTAATTTTAGTTTTTCACTATAGATCTAATCCTGGTTTCTTTTGCTTTTTAAGCTGTGTTTTATATAACTATATTTATGTTTAAAGATTTTCAAAGGAGCTCAAAAAGTGATGTAGTCCTACTCCTATTGTTACAGTATCCATAATCCAGCAACTGTTTAGAATTTTGGTTGCACAATAAACTATGTTATTACTCAGCTGTAGATATACAATAATAAATTGTGTTACTACTCACAAAAACTGTTTCTAACTATGCTCTAATCCAGGTATTCAGCATTTCAGTATACATTCAAGAAAGTCCAACTAGGTCAAAATAACATGATTTTTCTTGCCTAAGGTGAACATTTTCAATAGCATTCTGAACATGCATCTGAACTAGCCCTACATAAAAAAAGAGAAATGGATAATCTAGTTTTAATAGCATTAGAAGTTTTAGTGACTAAAGAGCAGAAAATGACCAATTGTTGCATCCACTGTAACTTAATGTTTTCTTTCATTCTGGCATGCACTTTTATAAGCAACATTTACATGTGGTGAGGAGCTCCATATTGGGAAAGAGGCACTTTTTGCATAGTACTTTTTTGCATTGTTTAATCACTGTCCATGTAAGCAGACATTGAGCTCAGTGCTGCATGTGCAGGTAGTGTTAGATTAGTTTAGAATTATAGGTGAAACAGGCCAATACTGCCATGATAGCAAAGATGACAAAAGAGCTGTGCAAACTGTTTTCTGTCCTTTTAAAAAAAATGTACCTCAAGTTGCTGTAAGAGCTGCTTTCCCTTTTTATTGATTTCATTAATGAGGGTAAAAATTGCCACTTTGATTTCCTGTTCTACTCGTTTGTTTGTTTCATCTACTTCTTTTATCCTGAAATAGAAAAATGAATTGTCAAGCAATAATATTTCAAACCTCTCAAATGAAAATTTAACATTACAAAGACAGAGGCTGTCACATAATGATATATGTATTAAAATACCACTTCCATTCATTCTTGCAAAAGAAACTTAAAATGTCATTTCCTTTTGAAATATATAATAACTATATGCATGTAAATTTTCTTCCATGTGTTAGATACTTGTGTTTCATTTTTGCTACATATCTGTCCTATTGGTTTCACTGCTCTTTAGGAATAATTTAGAAGGAAGTATAAGTTAGTTAAAAGAACTTATTTATTAGAAGTGACAACCAGATATCATTCAGTATACTGCTTTGCCTATCAACAAGGCAGCAATTTCCTATAAACCTTCCTATCTTGCCAGGGGTATTGCTGCCACTGCAATGTGCTGCACTGCAACATACAAACTGTGTATGTATGAAATTTCATTCATCCAGTTATGGATGAAAATCTTTTTTCCATAATTCATGCATTGCTAAACTGATAGATGCATGCTACTGTCCCTCACAGAACTGGTTTTTGTGTGTTTGGTATAGCATGTACAGTTGCAGAAACCTGTTTCCACATGTGGGTTTTGTCTGATAGATCAGAGCATAAGGCTATCATTGTGAACAGAGGATGGGATTTTAGAAGTTCTGCAATCCCACTCCTTCTTATCAAACAAGGCGTCACTACAGAAAAACTGAGCATCACTTACCTATTTTGCACTTGAGTAGCAGCAAAATTGACATAATTCTTCTTTTCAAGGAGTTTGGCTAATAGGTTCTCAATAGCACCCTTTTGATTCTGAAATGCTTCTTCCAAAAACTGGTATCTTTCCAAACCAGAAAACAACACACAATTAATGGTGAAGAAGCTAAAGCAAAGTAAGAGAATGCACTAGATTAAACTTGTGATTGCCAATGGGGAAATGGTAACTGTACAAATACCAGTGCAGGCATGTTTGAAAGACATTTGCTGTAACTAATTCTTGATGTTATCATATTTCTGGAGTCAGAACATTACCAACCTAATTTACTTGTAAAGTGCTTGGCTAGAAGGGACTGAACAATAAAACTGATGTAGGAAATTGTTAACAATAGTTTGGTAATTTATATGAAAGGTAACATTTTTAGATCTCAAAATGCTATGTCTCCTGGTGTTTCCTAATTTACACAACACGAGAAATGTGTAAAGAACTTATGTTTTCTCTATACTGTACACATAAAAAAAGGAAAAGTCCCCAAATGGTTCATATATGGAATTTTAAAATAACAATGGTCAAACATTTGTAGAAACAAGCTTGCCACTGCTAAAGATGTTAGCAAATATGGATATGAGACAGAACGCAAGCATGACCTGCAAAGATATGCTACTTCTGTTGCAACGTTCCCTCTAATTTCACCCCTGCTATCTAGGATTCCCACCTGTCTGCACACAGGGGTAGGGTTTAATCCAAAACCCGGATATAAACAGGTGTCAACACTGGCTGCCAGTGTGCAGCCCAGATGGAGCTGGAGGGAGCATAATGATTGTGTTAGACTAAGTGATGTAGCTGAATTGAGAATTAAGTACTTGCCTTTTGTGCATGTTGATTGGTTTTGGTTTACTGAAAACAGAGACAGCAGACTCACACTTTTCCTTCCTGGTTGGCCACTTTTGTAGTTTAGATGCATATCTAATGCATGTTAGACTATAATAGAAACTTCTATTATAGTCTAATGAATGGGTGGGCCCCAGAGACAGGCAATATAAACTAATGTATAATAGATACAACTCATAATATAGTTAATGATAGAAGAGAAGCAAAAGTAAAAGGTGACAACAGACAATCACAGTCCTAAACGCAATTTCCCAGTGACCTGTACAGAGGGACAAAGAAAACTGTTACAGCCCTCGCCGCAAAGGAATTGAAAAGAGCAACAGAAAGAAAAATAAGAGATCTCCTTCATAAGAGCCAAGAAATTAAATGAAAATTTTGAACCTAGATTAAGGATGCTGAAAGATCAACAGGCAAATATATTACCTGATCAGGACAAAAGAGAAGATGGAAACAATGTAACAAAGAACTCTACAGAAGACATAAAAGGATGACATATTCCTTCATTCTTTTAATGAAGATGCTGCAATTTTAGAAAATGAAATGAAAGCTGCTCACAAAGCAATCTGAAAAAACAAATTATCAAGATTAGATGTGATAATAACAGCCATTTGAAGCTACAAAGATAGAATCTATCAAAATCCTAACATGAATAGGCCAACAAATAAGGAAAGCAAACCAACGGACCACACACACTATATATATAGTGTTCATTCATTCATTCATTCATTCATTCATTCATTCATTCATTCATTCATTCATTCATTCATTCATTTAATTTTATTTGTACCCCGCCCATCTGGTCCTAAGACCATTCTAGGCGGCTTCGAATAGGACATTACAGCAAATTTAAAAAAAACAACACAAAGATTATTACATAAAATATCTTCCAAAAATTACAAGACAGAAGATAAAGTAAAAATAAAAAAGGAAAAATAAGGAGAGAAAAAGATCAGGTATTGACTGGAAGGAAGGCCTGAATAAACATCCTTGTTTTAGTTGGTTTTTAAAGATACCCAGCGTAGGGGCTGCGCGACTCTCCAGAGGGGATTCTAATATGCATTCTAATCCAAAAGAAAGGAGAGGCCAATGAATGAACTAACTATTGGATCATCATGAAACATAAGAAATGTGATGCTCAAGATTTTGCAATAACGACTTCTACCATATCTGGAGTGAGAAATGCCAGATATTCAAGCTGGATTCAGAGAAGGGACATTAAATACCATCTTGCTAATATATGTTGGTCACTGAAGCATACCAAAGTATTTCAAAAGAAAGTATGTTTGTACTTTACAGATTACAGTAAAGCTTTTGTATGGATGATGAAAAGATAAAGGCTAAAATCCTCTTGTAAAACTTTACACCATGCAAGTAGGATTATGTCATCACTGTGTGATGGGAATCTTTAATTTAAAGGTATTGGATGTTTCCTATCCCTCCCTTCAGGATTGAAAGCTTCCTAGGGTTCCCTTTTGCTTGAGGAAGCCTCTGGGAGCCTTCAGAAGACAAGGGAAGTCTTTAATAGCCAAAATCACTTCTGGATTTGGGATACAAAATGGAAAAACCAAATGGTTTCCAACACGTAAAAGTGTCAGACAGGGAAGAATTTTGCAGAACATATTGTTTGGAAAACTGGAATAGATTCAGATGGAGAAATGAAAAATGATGGGGGGAATTGACAATTTATTTACAATATTTTTCAGCCGCACCCCCCAGTGATGGGGGGAATTGATAATGTAAAATTTGCAGATGTCAATATATGTAATAATTTCAAACAAATAATGATAAAGTGAAAGTAAGTGCAGAAGCAGGACTACAACTGAATTTAAGGGGACAAAAATAATGATTTCAGAAGAACTTTAACACTGAAAATAAAGAAAAACTAACTGTTGAAGATTTTCTGTTCTTTGTATGAATTATCAATCTAAATGAAGACTAACTTGAAAAGCTCCCAATGTGTTGCCTCAGCAGTGGTTGAAAAGGAACTGAGGTGTGACATGCATGCTAGGGAGGAGAAGCAAAGTTTCAAAGCCCTGGAATATGTTCTATACTTTGTTATTCTTAGTGATATATACAGATGTGAAAGCCAAGTAGTCAAGAGACAGGGAGAAAACTAAATTTATTCATAATGTGATGTTGGAAGACAGCTTTATAAACACCACAAACTGCCAGAAAGAGAAATAAACTGATGTCAGATGAAATTCTCACTAGAAGTTACAATGACTAAACTGTACTTTGGGCAAATCATGAAAACCCAAACTTCACTGGAGAAGATGATAATGCTAGAAAAAGATGAAGGCAACAGGAAAAGAGAAGACCCAAAATGAGATGAACTGATTCAGCAAAGTAAGCCACAGTCTTTGATTTGCAAAACTAGCACAGTCTATGAACTACAGTGGACCCTTGACTTACAGACGGCTTGACTTACAGACTTTTTGAGTTACAGACTTCTCTGGCCGCAAAATTTAGGTTTGACTTGCAGCCCGAAAATTGACTTACAGACCAGAAAAAAACCAAAATGGAACAAAAACGGCCTGTTACGGGATTAATCGGTTTTCAATGCACTGTAGGTCAATGGAGACTTGACCTACAGACTTTTTGACTTGAGAACTGCCTTCCAATACGGATTAAGTTCTCAAGTCAAGACCCCACTGTACAGGACATTTTGGAAATCATTAACTCATATGGTGGACGTAATTTGGCAGTGACTTGACAGCACATGACAACAGCCCCCCATCACACATCTTAAGGATGAATTCCCAAGAAACATTACAGTAGTACCACCCTCTAGTGGGCAGCTCTGGTGATGTAGAAATATACCATATTTTTCCATTTATAAGATGACCCAAAGTATAAGATGACCCCCCCTTTTCTAACCCCAAAGTAGAAAAAGCAGGGATCAAAGGACTCCCTTTTTGTTAAGCCCCATGCCTTGGCAAAAGGCAAAGAAAGTGGCTGTCAGTCATTTTTGAGAAGGCATGGAGCTTAGCAAAGAGGAAGGGAGCAATGGCCCGTCGCCTTTTTTTCCCCTGAATTTTTTTTTAATTTTTTAACATAAGGGGTGACAGAAAGGAAAAATGAAATTGGAATTGATGAGGAAGAGGGGAGACAATAACATACTAACATCCATTCTATACCTATTGCCATATCAAGGTTTTAGGTTATTCTGTTTACTCTTTTCTGCCTTCTAGATAAAGTTCTCATTTCAATATATGCTAATCACACACTGCCTGTTGATTCAGTCCACTTGTTAAATAGATCCCATCTTTCTGTTGCCTTTTGCAAGGGATAGTCCTTCATGACTTCTGATAAGATATCCATTTCGGCTATTTCCCGTATGTTTTCAATAAGATCTTCTTGTTTTGGTAAAGTCGGACTTTTCCAATTTTTAGCATATAGAATTCTGGCTGCCGTAACAATATATAGAACTATGTATTCCTTTGACTTGTCTATATTATCGGGTATCATACTGAGTAAAAACAGTTCTGGGGTTAATGGCACCTCACATAGCAATATTTGTTGCAACATAGCATGTACTCTTTTCCAATATTGTTTCGCTACTCCACATGACCACCACATATGATAATAACTTCCCACTTGTGTTTCACATTTCAAACACTTATTTGATACATCTGTATACATCTTTGACAATTTTTCTGGTGTCATGTGCCACCTCTAAAACATCTTATATATATTCTCTTTAAAGTTAACCGATCTTGTAAGCTTTATGTTATTTTGCCATATTTTCAGCCATTGATCAATATCAATATTATGCCCTATGTTTTGTGCCCACTTAATCATACATTCCTTAACCATTTCATCTTGCATTTTAATTTCCAGCATATAATTATACATTTTCTTAACAATTTGTTCTTTTGAACCTAATAAGAGCTTATCAAAAATCGTTTGCTCTAAGTAGAAACCTTCTATTTTATCTTTTGTATATCTAGATTCCAATTGTGCTCTAGACCACTGGTTCTTAACCTTGGGTTACTCAGGAGTTTTGGACTGCAACTCCCAGAAGCCTTCACCACCAACTGTGCTGGCTGGGGTTTCTGGGAGTTGCAGTTCAAAAACATCCGAGTAACAAAGGTTAAGAACCACTGCATTAGACCGCCTCCTATTAAGAAATTTCTCCATGACATTTAATAAGCTCATTTTTCCTGAAGAACATAAGTGGACAGAAATAGAAAGAGATCAACAGAATTTTTTGGCCTATTGTAGAAGCAGGT